TCTGCCAAACTAACAGGAATTTCTTATTTTTAATTCACTTAACCTCCAAATACTAATTACAGTATAAAGTTAAAGATGTAAAGTCCTGCAACATGTATGTGCGTGTATGCCCTAAGATTGGAGCAACAAGAAAAACTGATGAAATATTAGGTCATTAAATATGAAATGTCTGATTTCGAATCACAACTGCACCAAAGAAGGCTGGAGAGTCAGTCGCCATGAAATTGCAAAAGGCATTTTTTCACAGCTTGTTGAGAATTGAATTTTTTTCCTTGCAAGAAGTGGTCCAAAGCCCAGAAGTGGTAGGCAGTTGGTGCAAGGTCTGGTGAATATGGTAGATGACAGAGTTTCCAAGTCCAGCCTTTGTCGTTTAAGCAGCAGTGTTTGTGAGACGTGTGGTGGAGTGCTGTCTTACAAGAGGACTGGCTTGAGTCTATTGACCAATCTCAGCTTTTAATCGCAAGCATCCTCATCATTTAATCCTATTGGTTGCAGTAGACCTCTGCTATAATCGATTGACCAGGTTTCCTGAAGCTGTAGTGGAAAATACCAGCACTGGACCACCAGACACCATTAGTTTTTTCTGATGAATATTTGGTTTTGGACTATGTTTCCACACTTCATCTTTATCCAAGCATTCTGCTGAACACTTGAGACTGTCAAAAAGAATCCAGTTTTCCTCATATGTAATGATATGATGTAGAAATGGTTCCCATTTATATCGTGACAACAAAGAAAGGCAAGCTTCAAGACCATTCCTCTTCTGATGCTCGTTTAATTCCTGCGGAACCCATCTATCCAGCTTCTTTACTTTGCCAATTTGTATCAAATGGTCCAATATTGTTAGAACAGTAATGTCAAACCTTGCTGCTCATTCATGTGTAGGTTGAGATGGATTCGCTTCCACTACAGCTTTCAGTTCATCATCATCCACCTTGGTCTCAGTTCACTCACGTGGCTCATTTTCAAGGTTAAAATCACCAGAATGGAACTTCTCAAACCATGGACATATTGTGCGTTCATTAGCCACATCCTTCCCAAACACTTCATTGATATTTCGAGCTTTCTGTGCTGCATTGGTTCCACAACAGAACTTACATTAAAAAATAACATAAATTCTTGATTTATCTATGGTTTCACAAAAATTGCTCTAAAAAAATTCAAAAGATAATCATAAGCCAAAATGTGTGTTCGAAAGACTGGGGATGTATCTTCACAATAAAAATAAAACAGTAAGTGTCAAAGTGAAATGTCAGGGATATCAACTGTCAGACATAATACTTAAGGAAATCCGACATTTCATATATAACAACCTTAATTACAGGCTGTGCATTGAGGCAGAGAATACTAAGAGTTTGCACCAGCCTAAAATTCTGGTTTTCTTTGGAGAGAAATGCAAAGTTTTTGGTTTCTTCTTACCTGTGAGAACCACACTGAAGGCATGAGTCAATCTACATGACAAACACAATTTGGTCTGTGTCACAGTTTAATGTTTATGCTGAAATACTCAATGGGTATCAGGGCAATCAGTGGTACATAGTCCCATCCAAGTCAGTTTGTCACTGAGTCAACAATACCTCCATAATATCTCCTACTGATACATTTGAAACATATTCACAATCAGTTTTGTCTTCTACCAACGTATCTAAATTCACTGAAAGTCATTTTATAAAAGACACTGCTAAGTTTTCAGAACTACTATTGTTAACTTAAATAGCAATCAAGTGTCTATATGTGGAGAATGATTTCTTCCAACTCTCCATACTATACAAAAATTCACCAACACCATGAATGGACAAAAGGAAACAAGGGCAAGGATATCAAGAAAAACCTAAAGTAATACACAAACAAAATGCATGTTGAAGAAGAGAAGTGCAGAGATTTTGAACAGTTTTTCTGAGGTAGCAAAGACGTCTGCATGCTCAGGAAGATCTTTGAAAATATAAAACAAGTATATTCATTTCCTAGTTCTTCGTCTTTTTCTTCATCTATTTTTTTAAATCTCCATGAAGGAAGAAGTAGGTCCCTTTTTATAATACTACAGAATATAAAACTCTTTACATTTTATTACCAAGTAATTTGCTCAAGAGGTGTCAATGCCCCTCTGAGTCTATCAGCCCCCTTCCATCAACCCCTAGACCCATCCTTCCTCAGATCATGCAGAGAAGCAGAGTTAGACAGAGAAGATCAAGGACTGAGAGGGCTCAGGAACAGGGCAGAGATGTCAATTATATATTCAATCAACCTATTTCCAGCTTCGATATGACCTTGTTGAACAGCAGCACTTGCAAAATGGCTAGATCAAAATATTCCATGAATCCTTCAAATATTCAAAACTGGAAATCTGTCCAAAGATCCCATTTAAAATCTTTAACCTTTATTATAGTAAAGAAATATAAGAAAGCCCTGGGGAAGCCAGTTATTCTCTAGGCCTTATTATAAAACATCAAATCAATTTATATTTACTGAATGCCTACATACAGATGGGAAGGCAGTTGGCCTGAGATTTTGCCTCTATAAATTGAAAATTTTAATGTCTGCTTCTGAGGGAACTTTAAGTATTTGAGAGACATTTCCTGTCTGATACTCCTATTTTTGCCCTACAGAGCAACCATAGACATATGTTAGAAAGGATTATCTCCTCAGGAGAAAAGAGATTTGGCTGAAAAACATCAACTTAAGATTTATCTAGTAATGTACTTGGCTTCAGAATCTGACTTCAGAATGTAACCTATAATAAACCGTACAAACATATTTAGTTGGTCGTATCTGTAAGTGAATATCCTGAAATCCATGGTACTACAGAAGAACAACTTATAACTAATATCATAAAATTAAGTTGTATATATGTGAAAGAAACAAAATATAAAACATAATAAAAAATCAAACTATATAAAGAAACTTAAAAATAAGTTTTTTTAAACAACCATTTCAAATAAAGCGTTTTATCAGTATTACTTCCTGAATAACTAAGATGGAAAAATCTAAAAGGAGAAATAATTATAGGGTACATAAGGAAGACATCCATGTTGCTAATTAAACCAAGCTTATACCTGCCATGCTGTAAGGCAAGAGGTGCACATCAAATGTCCACAAGGCTCAATCTTGACATCTTTGTCATTTTCTGCACAAATTTTACAGAGCTGAAAAGTAGAGCCCATTTCACAATATAATTCATATTGTTCCTGAAATTTGGGAAAAAACACAATATTAATGTATTTCTAGCACAAACTGTTAATATTGAATTTTCTCAAAAACAATGAGTTACAGTAAATATTTCACACTGATCCTATCAGAATTATGTTACCATTTAAGACATGTTTTAAATTCATAATCACACTTTGTTCTACAAAATGTAGTTTTAAAATGTTTGAACTTTCATCAGTTATTTTATAAGCTTTTTAATAATTCAGATTATTTAATGTTCTGTTACGGATCATTTAGGAAGGGATTGCTTCAATAGTCATTCAGAAGACAAAACCTATGGCTTTAAGATGGCAATATAAATGACTTTATCTTCTTGGTAAATGTTACATGCTCATTTAACTTCATTGTTAAATTGAAAAAAAAAAAATATATATATATATATACTTTTGGCTAAACACTAAATTTTACTTCTTTGGTATCCTTAGAAATTCCAGAATGGAAGAAAAGCAACAGACATTTGCCAAGCCTTTCCTGCATGCCACACACCGTGGTCCACACTATTTCCTATAATCTTCATGCCAAAGAAGATACACATTAAATTTAAGAAAAAATACCTGAGGCTCAATAAGTTTAAATTGTTTTCTTCAAATTCTAAATCAAGTCTCTGACTCAAAAGTGCATACTCATTTCCTATCTAACACTGTCAAGAAAACTAATTACTTCAGTAACCAAAAATTGTTTTATTAAACTTCAATTCTCTTGATTTACTAGAGTTTTTAGCTTAGAACATTTGGCATAGTAAAATTCTCAGTGATAAAATATTGACAAGATCTGAGTGATAAAGAAGATACAAATAGATTGGTAAATGTAAAGAAAATATTAAAAAAAATTGAGAGATACAAAGAAAGAGAGTTTGAAATCAAAATTTGCATAAAGCAACATTTTAGCCTAGTAAATGCCTACAATGTGTATGGCCTCAAGTAGGATAAATATATGGTAATATTTAGTTCATAATCTATTAAAGATATCACAATCTTGGTAAAAAAATATATACATACACATGCACGCACATGCTTAAACACACATACATATATAAATTGTGTCTATAATGATGTATGTATGTGTCAGAATATAATTTTTAGAGAAATTAAGGAAAAAGACAAGAGAGAATGGATCAAGATGGAAAAGAAATAACTCTAATGTAATCCAAAGTAAGTTACAAATTGCTGATGGCCTTGAAATAATAGATTAGTATTGATTCTGGTTATGACTATTCAAAGAACAAATTTGCAATTATAAAAAAATTACAATATGCCAAAATCACAGATGTAGAACTAATGTAACCTAAGGGATAAGAATATTTATGAGTAACTTAAGGGAATGATATTACTTCTTTAGATTTATTTTTTTTAAATGGTTTTATAAAGAGGAATTGTCTTTCCTGAGTATCCTTTTACACATTAGAAAATACAGAAGCATTGCATTATTTTTTTGAATAGCAATCATAGATTTATTTACTAATTTATTTTATTTATTTATTTATTTTAAGAAACAAGGTCTTGCTTTGTCACCCAGGTGGGAGTGCTGTAATGCGATCACAGCTCAAGGCAACCTCGAACTCCTGGGCTCAAGCGATCCTCTCGCCTCAGTCTCCCAAAGTGCTAAGATTATAGGTGTGAGCCACCATGCCTGGCCCTATGTTAAATTAAAAAGCTACCCATGAGTTGTATATATGTCAAAAAGTATTTTTCACATAATAATATAAAGACTGCAGGGACTGAAACCTAGAGAATTACAAATAAAGTAAATCAGTATCTATTGTCTTTCAAAAAACCCTATAACTTCTCTCTGGTTTGGTGTTTTCCCTTAGATTTTTGTTATTTATTATAGAAAGCATTGAGTATATCTAAAATATAAAATATCTTAAAATTATACTTATGTAAAATAAAATAGTCAAGATCTCCCTTCATCCTCTCCCTAATTCCTCAATCCTTGTCACTTCCTCAGTTAAACCTCTTACCAGCTTGGTGTTTTTTTATTTTTATTTTTTAAAAGTATACTCTCATGTTCATATATGGTAATTTCTTATCTGTTTACAGAAATTGAACTTATATAATGTAACTTTACAAAATGAAATGCTACATAATTATGCTTTCCATAACTGGAATTTTTTTAAAGTACAATGCAGAAGTTCCCATGTATGTACAGCTCCCTCCCTCTGGTTGATGACTTCACATAACACAGCATGAGTACACTACGGTGTGTTTTACTTGTAATCTACTATTGAACACCTAGGTATTTTGTAAAATTTTCATTTTTATGAAATATTTTACAATGAATATCCTGTTCTAAAGATCTTTGTGGGCATGTGCGAGTGAAATATATAAATATATATATGTATGGAATACACATATATGGAATCTAGAACAAAAAGATGTTTTCATTTAGATTTTTATAATTACTAAATATTACCCTCAAGAAAGCCTTTATCAACTTACATTCTCACTCATAATCTATGAGGCTGGCAACAATGGATTTAGAAAAATATAATCATTATCTTTAATAGGCTTCAATTACCTTTTTGACTCTAAAAGCTATAGCATATAATACTCTAATCATTTTTTATAGTTTTCTAAATTATGATCCTCTCCTCACATTTATGTATCTACCTATGGATTTATCCATTTATCTCCCTAATATAAGTGCCAATACTATATTGTAAACAAGAATATTAACAGCAGAAATTTTTATCCAAGAATTTTCAAAGATAATTTCTTTTCAAATATACTTAGAATTCCGTAAGTAACTTTTGTATTAAATATCTGTGCATGATTTTAGCTATAAGCAGAGAATCTTATTTATTTTAAAGGTATTACAGATAGTTATTAATTATACTTTTCCAGAAATTGTCCTTACCTGTGTAACTTTTATATGATCATGGGGTGTAGGTTCACATAATCCAGTTAAATCAGGATTATAACTCCTCCCATCAGGATAAAGATAACTGAATTTAAACAAAAATTTATTACCTTAAATACATAAGTTTTAATTGCACTTATGATTATTTAACTGAATTATTTTACATCTAAACATATATTTTGATGTTTATTTTTTATTTAACATATCAATAATTGTATCACTGTTCCATAATATTATGTTATCTTAAGACATTTAAAATGTAGAAATCATTTTCATATAAGAAATACATGATGATATTCATGCTTAGTGGACTTAGCCACTAAGCAACCATTAATATATGTCTCTTACATAAGTTAAAAATTTATTTTATTGGTCAATTATATTCTATTGCAAAACACTTTGAATATATACCTATTTGCAATTATTAGCATTTCTCAGAAGCACAGATAGTTAACTCGATCATTTTACACCATACTTAATACCACAGAGAGAAAAATAGAATTAAAAGCCACAAGTTATTCACATACTTCTGAGGTGTTCCTGTTTTTACAGTTTCTCAGTCTCTTTCTTCTGACTCACCTTCCACTCTTCCTAACACATACACACGTGCACACATGCACACACACACACATGCACACACACACTTTTAAAAAATTAGAAATCATTACAATTTCATATTTCATTGACTTCTATAAAGTTATAAACACCGAATGGTCTATACTAAGGTTCTATTATCAGAGAAAACTGAAATCTGAACTAAAAGAGTAATAATGCCATGTTGCTGTGTTTGAGTTTTCACTTGTTACTCAGAAATTAATTAAAAATAAAGTTTATTGTGTTGGTAATACCCATTTTTGATTAAAAAATAAGTGATACTGTTCCAGCCAGATTTCGTCAATTTATTAATTCTGTTTAATATCTTTATATGTTAGATAACTTGAATGAAAAATTAAGAATACAATAGTAGTGAATATTTTAAAGGGAAAAACTATTCTGTAAAGTAACAAAAAAAAATTATCATTAAATAAAGAGTCTATAACTATAAACATGTTAATAAGTATTAGAATTTACCCAGAAAAACCAGAAAAATGAACTTAAAGGACAGGTAAATCTCATACAGTAAGGGACAGATCAGTGAGATGATTTTTTTTTTTTTTTTGATTTGGGAAATGGAGTTGACTACATCTGAATATAATACAAATGGAGACTACCATTAGGGAGGGGTACAAAATTCTACAAATATTAAATGAGGAATGATAAGTAAAAGCTTATGAGTAAGTTTATTTTCATACTCTAAAGTGGTTATTTAAAATTAGATAACACTGTTCATTCCACCTCAAAAATATGTAGAAATTCTAGGAAGAATTCAGAAATGAAAGATTACAAAGATGACAATAAAAGAGCCAGAGTAAAGGTTAAAAGGTTCTATTTAACCTATCGGGCAATTTGATGATTTCTGTCCTCAGTAAGACAAGAATATAGCTGATAAGCCCCTTTCAATGGCACTAAAGGAGTAAAGAATCTTGGATAGTTATCAAAATAAACTTCTATATCATCTATGTCATACAATATTGGATTAACTATAAGGAAATATAGTGGACTCTGATGTTAGCTAGACCACATAATATTCTATGTTTTTACCAATCTTAAGAAAAACGTTATCTAATTAATATAATAAAACCTATTTTATCCTAATATATCATGAGTGTTCAAATTCAACTAGCCAAATCCCTCTGAATATGCTTCTCTGTGTGTGTTTGGGTAATGTTAACAGTTAATTTGTACAGGAGTTTTGAGGCTTTGCTCAACTGATTACATTACTAAAATATGTTCCTTTTTGATTCACTTTTGGAAAATAGATAGAAGGCATGATAATAATACAAACAAGCTACATCAATATTCCATCTACAGATTTGTCCACTCATACTGTGTACTTACAAATTAAATCTTCAAAGTATGTTTTATTTTTAAAAATAAGAGCCTGCAATCATGGTGAAGCAAAAGCTACAAATATGAATCTTTGATGCACTAGAAGTAAAATATACATAACTGAGAATAGAAAATTTATGAAAAATAGAAGAAAAAAGAGAAATACACGTTTGGAACCATAATTTGCCATACAATTCCTATATAACTGATTTCTTGAAAGTTCACAGCTTTAAAAAAATGCATTCTTTTTCTTCACATAGATACCATCACTTTTTTCTTTGTAATTACTTTGCAAAAGGTAAAACCTAAATCATTTGTTCTTTGCTAACTCTGGTAGACTTTCTCCTGCTAGGTTTCTATCACAATCAATGCTGCAGAAAGTTGGCTCCATATATCTCTAAGTTACTCAGCAAGGCAGAGGGCAAGAAAAGGCAAAGTGATAAATTAACACTGAGAATGCAAGGAGAGGATGAAGGGAATGACATGTGACTAAAATGAATAAGAACCAGATATGCTTACTACAGGGTGGCCTAACAGACTGTCCAAACTTTGTATCTGTGTTGAGGTGGGGATGGGGGGGAGTCATTATCAGTCAAAAACACAAACGAGGAGAAAGTAACCTGAACCTAGCTATTAACATACAATTCTGGAATATGGAGTCATTACTAGTGTAAATAAAAGGTCTATGAAGAGACAAGGAAGGGAAGGGATGGAAGAAGAAAAAAGAAGGAAAAAAAGAAAATCTGGCACTACCAGTCAAAATAAAAAAAAGTAAAGCTAGCAATTTGAGAGTTACAGGGGACATCGAAAGTCAATTATTTTAAAGAACTTTCTCTTAATATATACACAGTTTTACATCTATTTTAAAACTACTTTTAAGTACCAACCTCTTTTCCTATGAAAGATATAAACTAACATTGAAGTTTGAAGTGGGAATGTATTTGCTATAACATATGGTTAGATTCAAATAATGAAGTTACCTTAAGATGGCTACTTAAAGGTATGAACAATAAAAACTAAAGAGCAACCATTATCTCTCAGTCTTGAGATACAAAGCCAACGGCCAGATCACCAGCCTCACTATCCATTCTCTCCAGCACAGAGCAGTCCCTATTTTTCAGATTGGTGAATCATAACTGCACTGACTTCTGCTTCTCATACTTACAACCCTTCCCTGCTGCCATCAATCAGGGCTTGAAATAAGGGCTTGTTATGAGGTATGGTCTGTAAGATATTGCCATCCCCGGTGACATAGCCAATGGCCCACTGTCCCAGTCGAGTGCAACTTAACCGGAAAATGTAGCTGCAAAACATAAGAAAATTATGTTTAATTACATTCAAAATATAAGCCAACTACTAGACAATTGTTAGGCTTATTTAAGCAAAAGAAAAAACAGAATCCTTTAGAATTCCTGATAATTAAATATACCTTATTTGTAACATCACCGCGCTTCTCCATTTATTGATTTCTAAGAGAAACCCTGAGAATTTCTTTTCATTTAAATATCTCCAGTTATATGAGAAGATAAATGAAGTTATAAACTAACAAGTGATTTATTACCAATCACCATCACATCAGGAGTGTTATGTATGAATGTGCTGTTGGTATAAAATGGCTATGACAAATTATTTTTGGCAAGTAAAAATAAAATAAATAAGTGAAAATTTAAATTTAATTTGTTTACTCAGAAAAAAATTGAGAGTTTCTAGTATGGAATTCAACATATTACTTTGTAATTTAGTTATTAAAATTAAACATTTTTAGTTGTTAAATAACTTGTTCAAAATACTTTTTCTTTCAAGCATTCCAGCCGTTCATCTTTAAATGAAAGCTCAAAAGAGTTGAACTATATTAATGAGAAAGTAGATTATTTTAAAGACAAACTAGATGGTTGTCATCCAACCATGTCAAATTCAAAACCTTGCAATAGGAAATCAAGATAGTTTAAAAATAAAAATCAAATGAAAGATGAGTCCCTTAAAATCAATCTCTAATAAAAGGAGGCATTGACTTGCTTTTAAATTCATCATTGTCACTTATTTATTCATTTACTTATTTCACTTTAGATCACTTCTAAGTGTACTGTACTCAATCATGCTATCATGATATCAATTTCTGGATTTTATAACTCATTAAGCAGATTAAAAGTAAGTCAACTTATACATTGACTTACACAGTTGGCTATATTTTAGTATCCTAGCTGCTATATGTATGTGGCAGAAATATGTATCTCTTAATATATTTTATTTATTGATGAACCAAGTACTGTAAAAGTAAATTTATAAGATGTAATTTAGCATATATAATAGATATACAATCACTGGACTTAATTAATATGTATATTTAGTAGTGCATGTGATCTCATCTTTGAAGAAAATTAAGTCTTTAAAGAATGGAAAAAGTTATGATTTTAAAATATTATTAATTTAATATTGGTGATAGAACCTCTGGAAAGGACTTTTCAAGGAAGTCTAAAACATATTTCCCTAGAGAGCCTGAAAATGGGATATCAACTTGTTAATTCTTAGCATCATTAATCAGAATCAGATAAAATAATTCCACATAAACTTATGGCTGTGATGTTATGAGAAGTATCAAAAGTAATAGAAAGTCACTACAAATTATAATTCAGAAGTTCATTATTAAACTGTTCCATTAACAAATTAATATGATAAAATTCTTTCAAACAAAGAGTCAAATAGAAATCTTAAAGATCAGTATGTACTACGGATCTCATCAGAATTTAGAGTATATTAAAATGAAGAAAATAATTACAAATCTGAATTGTTACTAATTTTAAAAGTAATTTCATATTTATTCATATACTAACAATCTAGTAAATACGGAAATACATGTGAAATTGCTCAGTTTTTAATTAACATCCTTTTCTGTTGCTCTAAACACTGTTTTAGGATGGTGTTTCTAAAACTGATTAATATAGAGGAGGAGGGCCAATCAATTCACAGAGATAACAGATAGTAATAATAACAATTTGGAAAGAGCTACAATATGGCTTTTCAGAACAATTTCTCCCTCTCATGAGCTTTTTTCCTCTTCCATTTCATTTGCACATTTTTACACCATTTGCTGATAACCCTTTTGCTGATAGCTAACTATTCCTAATCTCTTGTGGTGAATTTTTGCTTTATTCTTAGCACCTTGCTCTCTTAAATGGCACACACAACATAATCAGATGAATTTGTTTTGTCTTGACAGGGTGGTTTAGGGTTCAAGGCCACTTTTTTTTTTTTTTGAGATAGGATCTGGCTCTGTTGCCCAGGCCAGAGTGCAGTAGAGTCATCATAGCTCACTGCAACCTCAAACTCCTGGGCTCAAGCAATCTTTCTGACTCAGCCTCCCAAGTAGTTGGGACTACAGGCACGCACCACCATGCCTGCCTAATTTTTCTATTTTTTGTAGAGATCAGATTTCTTTATGTTGCTCAGGCTGGTCTCAAACTCCTGGTCTCAAGCGATCTTCTCATATGGGACTCCCAAAGTGTTAGTGTTACAGGCATGAGCTATCATGCCCAGCCTCAAGGTTACTCTTTAACGCTAAAAGTCATCCAATGGATATTTCACCTAGATTCTCCAGTATAAGTAACTTCATCAGGTAACTAATGTTTTGCTAGTTGGATCTCCAATAAAGCACAACCCGAGGAACCCAAATGTCCTTGCAATAAATCCAACTATTTTCCTGATTATGAAGCCAAAGAGATGAAAGAAACTTTCCTTGAGAAAGTACGAGTTAAACACAGATATTCTATAAAGCAAATATTTATCAAAATTATTTGATTTGTTCATTAACTATGGTTTTCTAAACATATTTTAAATATCCACATCAAACTTTACATATGACAATTTACTATATACTATTCAGTTCATCTTTATCTAAAATTTAGTAGAAAAAATTGTTGCAGGGCAAATTAAGAAGGAATAGAAGATATTCTTTCAGAGAGTAGTATCCTATGTTTTTAAGATATGACTGACATATAAAAAAGCTATGCATAATGTATATCTCACGATGCATTTGAAGATAATACTGTTAGATGTATATTAAAAGTTCTTAATCAGAGGGCAGTATTTTTTTTTTTTTTTTTTTACTAAGAGAACTATTTAAAATGGTGATGAGACCTGGCTTTTAATCCCAACACTGTCATTCAAGATCTCCATGATGTTGAAGAAGAAAACAAAAAAGGCTTCAGTTTCCTTATTATTTTTATAGGATTGGACAAGATAATTTCCCAAATAACTTGTACATTAAATTATTTGATTGCATGATTCCAACCATGTAACATTTCTCAAATCATAGTCCAGGAGCAAGAAAGACAGTATATATGATACCAATCAAGAAAGTAAAATTATGGAAAAATCTGGTCATGAGAGATTCTTGAATGAAACAAAATGATTTGTCTAAACCACTAATCAACACACAAAGTATATGACCTGTTTTCATAGTCACAATGAGAACTAACTCTCCTTAATTTAAACAGAAGATTTCAACAGAAGATAAACTGTTTTCTACACTCACTACTCCCCTTTTTATATAACATATAAATTTCTAAAGAAGAAAAAAGGTAGAAGTTTTCATTACGGCAGACAGGAAAGGAAACACCATTGGCTTGCAATTGAGAAAATATTGTCAAAGGACAAACATCATATGCACTACAAATGAAATAAAAATGATACTGGAAGAAAAAGGTAGACTTAAAAAAACAACCAAATTTGTTCCTAAAATGAAAAAATCTCTATACGAAAATCAGTAAACTAATGGACATTAGAATGGCATCTCCTACTAAAATGTGAGGACTCTATAGACATGTTTCTAATATCACTGCTGCTATACATACCTAGCACACTGTTTGCTATAGCACAAGTGCCATAGCACAAATGCCCAGTATGTACCTGATGCATTTCTAGATGGGACATAGGGGAAAATACACTAAATCAGGGAAGAGACATTTTCTGGTTGCAGATTTGCCATTAATAAGGTGTGATTTCTTGGTTAAAACCACAGGGGCTGATCAAACAATCGACCTCTCTGAGTCTCACTCAGATTCATCATTTGGAAAATAAAACATTAATTCTGAGGCTGTGAAGAAGCATGAGACATTATGGAAGTCATTTCTGACGATGTGAAATTGGTCTGGATTATAATAGTGGGTTTATATATGTTTATGTACTTATATATATTTATATGTGTTTATATGCAATTATACATGCTTATATGTATTTATCATAGAGCCTAATTGAATGTCTTTAAAAATATCCTAAAATAATGAACATTAAACGGTTCTATTTATTTTGTCTTTAGCACAATATTCAAGTATTCAAATATATACACAAAATTTTGTACACAGACACAGGTATCATGAAAACAGAAAGTGGAACGCATCCCCTTTCACTTTATGAATACTAAGTTTCAGAGCAAGCACAATGTATCAATTTAAAGGACTCCATTAAGAAGCACCATTTTAGTCTACTACCTTTTCTACCCACACCACCCCCATACTCCTAGTGGGTCATGTATTTACTTAGGAAAGAACCATAGAAGATTTTTCATCTTCAAATATGTCACATGATATTGCTGCTAAAAGTCTTACCTTCCGGGTTTGGTGCTGTATTTTTGTAGTCGTGCTTTAACTTCATCATATGTAAGGAATGCCATGTAACCCGGATGCGTCACAGCTAAGAAATTCCAATTCCGTAAAATAGAGCCCCATGGCTAAAAATATAAATATATTAAAAGATATTATCTAGAGAATATCAACTATTGATTACATACCAACTCATCATTTAATACACTTAATGAAATTCTCTCGGATATTTTTTAAGTTAATCTGAGCTTATGTGGTTTAGGTCAACCTTTGTTACCTAACAGCAAACATGCAATAATTTCATCTCTTTTGGAGAAACATGATTAGGCAGAAAACAGCTTTTTAGGAATAGAATATGGAGAGCAAAAAGAAACATAATCTCTTCTCTGCACCGTCTTTTCTCATTATGGCATTTGTGATCACTTTCAAATATAAGTCACATAACTCTTTTATGCAAAACCTTGTTAAGTTTGAATAGAAGCCAAAGTTCTCATGCATGGGCTAGAGGGTTTACAGAGTTTGATCCCCAGTTCCCTTTTTGTCCCCATCTGCTACAACTCTCCCACTTCCTCCTTCTTCTCCAGCCACACTGGCCTCTTTGCTTTTGTCTTGAACACAAAAGCCCTCTCCCACCTCAGAGCCTTTGTATTTGCTGGTTTCTTTACCTGAATTATCTTCCCTCAAATATCCACTTCATTCCTTTCTTCAAATGTCATTTCCTCGACAACAAGGCCTTCTGCGATCATCCTATTTAAAACTGTTACTTCTCATCCCATTCCTCACACCTCTCTGTGTGTCTGTTTTGTTCGCTACTGCTTCATTTTATAGAATAAGAAACCATATTATGGTACTTAAGTGATTTGGCAAAGGTTACACATTAACCAAAAGCTACCTACCCACGAGTAAGGAACATGCCTGTCTTGCTCACTGATGGGATACCAGGACTCAGGCACAGAGTCAGATACACAGCAATCAGTCAGGACTAATTATTGTTGATAACAACCTCTCAATGGTGACTTGTCCTCCCATGGTAACATACTACTGTACTCATATCTGGCTTACCCTTAAACAATCATAAAATTAGAAAAGGCTTACGGTATAAAAGTGAGTTATGTAAAAAAAACCTTTCACAAAAATACATAGTTTGTACCAATGTATCATTCTCTTTTTAATGTGATCACTTGTTCCTCCAGTTACCACGCAAGAAAAAAAAAAGGCAGTCAGTGATAGACAACTTTACTTGAGAGTGTGGATGAATCATCTCTGCAATATTTTTAAGGCTAAAGCTACGTTTATTCCAAGGAATTGGCAGTATACTCTCTCTGTGGTGCCAGATTATTAACTTGAATCTTCTACATAAAAGAAAAAAAAAGGTATGTTATGTTGCCAAGTTAAAGCTGTTGAAATAGTCATCCTAGATATGATTATTTAAGACAGAGAGTTCCTGCTTTTGTTTGCTTTGAGGCTTGTTTCTCATTATTGTTAAGCAAGTTTCAAATTTATAAGGCGGAATTCTTCAAGGATTATATCCCTTAAGATGAGGATAACAAGGGAAGGAACGATTTAGTAATAGAGTTTTTTAGCCTGTTTTGACATAACAAGAAAAGTCTTCAGGGTATTTCCCCATCACACTAAAATACCTAATTGGATAAAAAAAAAAAAAAGGAGCTATGGAGACTACTAATATGAGAGAGAAGTTCTGTCTATGGTACTTGAAAAAAGAAATGCATGTTTTTAATTTTCTTCTTAAGGCATGACTACAAATTGCATAAAACAATACCTGGAAAAATATCAGTATATGTTAAGAAAGACTGTGAAATAACTGTTATTCTAGACACTGGGTTTTGTTTTGTTTTATTCTACTTCCTCATCTACAATTGACAAGGATGGAAGAAAGATCAAACAAATATTTGGGCCACTTCCATTAAAGTCCACACAAATTAATGGAAGAGTTGTTAAAAAAATGCAGAACTTTTTAGAGAGCAAATACACAGATCAAAATACAAATTAAAAGAAAATAAAAAAGAAATTATAGTTTTGAGCCAACTGCTGCAGTATTTAGCAACTATTTCTTAGTACATAATCCAGAGGGCCAGCTTCTAATTGCAAAAATATTTATGTAATAGAATGAGTCTGTGTACTGTTTTTCTTATGAATGCAACCCACTCGAAACAGTCAGAAACACGTGGTACTTATGTGCTTTTTTCTTTTTAAAGTATTTAGCCAACTAATGACTTAAAGAAGGCAAAACAAAGTGCTTCGGAGAATAAGAATTATTTTTGAAATTTGTTTTTTAGACAAAAGGAACTTGTTTTTACACACAAGAACACTAAGTTATTTGGAGATGTTTAAAGCACTACAGAAATTAATTACGTGAATAAACGAGACAACTCCCTCCATTCTCCCAAATGCTATTATTTTCATTTGTTTGTTTGAGACAGTCTCACTCTGTCACCCTGCTAGAATGCAGTGGCTTCCTCATATCTCACAGCAACCTCAAAGTCCTGGGCTCAAGTGATCCTCCAACCTCAGCCTCCCGAGTAGCTGGGACTACAGGCATGTGCCACCACACCTGGCTAATTTTTTCTATTTTTAGTAGAGACAGAGTCTTCCTCTTGCTCAGGCTGGCCTCGGACTCCTAAGCTCCAGCAATCCTCTTGCCTCAGCCTCCCAGTGTGCTAGGATTACAGGTATGAGCCACTGCATCCGGTCCACCAAATGTCACTATTGTAAAGAAGAGCTGATTTAGAACTTAAGTTGGAAGAGGGTCCTTGGCTGGTCTGTCCAGATGCCCTCTATAGTTCGTTGCTGTAACTGACAACTTTCCTTCTCTTTGATTTTCCTCCTTATTCCATTGATGCTATATATTCCATAGTCACTAGGATATTCTCCCAAAACACTCCTTCCTATCCAGCCACCCCTCAAATTTAGTGTCCCATTGCTCAACAACCTCATCTTCTCCAACAGTGGGAAATAGAAGGAAAAGGAGGGCAGCAGCCCCAGGAAAAAGAAACAGAAAAACAAAGTCCCTACATTTTCACCCAAGACTTTAGTACCTACTGATCCCAACATCTCCAAATGACTTTCAGAGAAGGGAGAAGGGTAAAGGCAGAAGAAGAGGAAACAATGAAAGTGACCATAACAAGATCCCCCGAATGAATCCCCAGCACTTGTTTAAGTTCTGCCTGACTACAAGGATGAAGGCCAAGAGCAAGCAAACTTTCTTCTCTCATTCCTTCCGTAATTCTCAATTTCATCTCCTGGCCTCTGCTGCCTCCTTCCTCAAACCCTTATGCTAGTTTTTCTACTTCAGTCCCTGAAACCTGAGAGTGTACCTTACCTACTTTCAGACCCCACTCTGTTAAATGCCCCACCTCCAATAAGGTAGAGTTAGAAGAATTCATTGCTAATTAACCACCAATATCATGGCTATAGCAGAATATATGTTCATCAGTCACAGCATTAACAAAACTTACATTTTTCATATAGAATATATAAGAATTTAATGAATATAACACATTTAAGAAAACTATCACTCAGTTTTTAAGGTTGTATAAAAATAAAAGATCAGCAAAAGTTAAAACCTCTACTTCTCTATGCACAGGACCAATTTTATCATGTTTTAAGGCACATGTATGATTATATTCAGAGTATGTGATTTCTGAGTATATAAATCAAAGGAAGGAACAAAATCTCAGAAATATATAGAGGTTAATGAGAGTTCTTCAGCTACTTCTATAATCACGTGTTTTGAAAGAGATTAGCCATTCTTTGGTGCAGGTAAGATTTTGGTTTTATTATCTAAAACGTCACAGTAGCTCTACTTATAAAGATCCCTTACTTCTCCCATCCTAGTGAACATAAATAAGATATACATACCTTAGAGTATTAAGGTTACTTACACTGTTTTAAAGTAAAACAGCTTATAAGAAAATATGTGCACATATTAAGTAGCAGTTTAGATAAGTATTTAACCAATATTAAGTTGCCCTTATACTGTTAATACATAACTCTGAGGCATTCTAGCATTTAATATCCACACTAAAAAGTGATCCAGGCTCATCACAAAAAAATACTCACTTCCCAGAATGAGCAGTTAGGTTTAATGTATGAAAATTTCTTTTACTCTCTTCCTTCACAAGGTGAAGAAGCAAAGTTCTTACTAGTTAGAATGTCTTTGTATCATGTTAAATAAATAAAGTATTTATTCTGGAAAATTATCAGAAAATTATAAGGAAAGGCGAGGTTCCATTATAAAATGACCAGTATCAGATAACAACTTTTTTTCTAAGCTGTATCTCAAAATCTTAGAAAAAACATGAATTGACAACCTATATCTACCAATGAATAATCATGAAACTAATATACATTTAAAATAAGCAAAAGCACATTTTCAGTAGTAATTGATCTAATTTCTAACCTCATAGACAAGGTAGAATTATGATTTTGAAATTATAATAAAAACATATCCTATATGTATTGCTGATAGGAGTTAATCTATCTTCTATTAACAGATTCTCTCATAAATTAAAAGTTAATCCCATGCAATGTTGTTTTCTTACATGAATCAGTCACCTGATCCTTGCCAGCTAGTGCTAAGCAGAATCATAAATCAGAGAAGTAAAATTCACAAACATGGAAAACATGAAACCAACATTGTACTCTAACATTTGCTGAAAGCTGGTTTCCTGGAGAATAAATCTTACTTCAGATTAAAATAATAAAGAAGTATATCTGGGGGCGGGGCGCCGGTAAAACCACCGCCGCCGCCAGCATCAGAGCCAAAGGGAGGCTGATGCACGTTTACAGTCTTCACAGCCACGTACAGCGACGCTGAGACACACGCACTGCTCTTGTGACCTCCCCTGCCAGTGTGGGCCCTCGTCCTGCCCACGGTGGCTTTTCGGTGGCTGCAGAGCATCTGATCACCACACTAGCTGTGGCGTGCCGTTCCCTGTCTTGTTTCACTTGGGGATGGACACGGGACATACACGGCGGCGAGTGGCAGAAGAATCCCCCGTCCATCAGCGACAGGGCTGCTCCTGACAACTCTGATGGCGGAAGATGAGAGGCCGCTTCGGCGCTCGGCCAATTCAGAAACCAGAACGGGGCCTGCATCCCGCTGCGTCCCTCAGGAAAACCTCCTGTGCGCAGACTTCGGCCGCGGTCTGACAAACACGCCAGGTGGCTCTTGAAAAGTCACTAAACATAAACTCGAAACTTTACAAAGCCAAACGCGAGTGTGTTGTCGTGACGGTGACAGCTGGGCAAGATCCGTCGGACCCGGCCACAGCTCCAGTGTCCTGTCACTGTTCTTCACGTAAATGAAGCGGCTCCTTCTTCCTGGTGTAGCTCGATTCCGAAAGACGCCACATTCCCGTCATTCTCCCTATTATCCAACGCACCTGCTCGCCGCGCAGCAGAGGAGGGAGACTCCATCAGGATGGTTCTAAGCGGCGATGCTTATGCCAGAGTCTGAATGACCAAAATGCACGGAAGCATAATTTCCCAAATCTCAAGGTGTAAGAAAGGTGCAGGTAGAACACAGAAAACTCTCCAACAGCCGGTACAGCTCTAGCGTTTATTTCATGATCATTGGTTTCCACGATGTGCCCCTTATCAAAGGTGGCGGATTATCACCCCGTCACACAGAGCTTTCCTCGTAAACCGGCGGAGCTCTATTTTCTGCTAAGCCCCCAAAATGAAAAAAAGGACTCGAAGTTGGTCTAGGCGCCCGTTTAGAAGTGTTTGATAGTTGCCAAAAGCAGTCCTAGCTATCTTGTATTTACGACATAAACACAAATCCCATTCCCAGCATCCTCAAATCCACTGTTTCCACACGACTCTACGAGGTAGCGAGGATGAATGCCTTGCTATTTCACGATTCGGGAACGGAACGTCTAAAATCGGAGAGAACAAAGAACTCTGGGAGTCTCCTCATCGCACCAAAAGGCAGAGTTTAGAAACGTGGACGCCTGTTACTCGAGAAGTAGCTGCTAATTTATCGCCAGTTCTGATACTCCGGCTTGTCTGATTCATATCAGGGAAAGAAGATAATACTCACAGAAACCACGATATTTGCATTTCGGAAAGACGCAACGAATATTCACCTGGTGTCTACAACGTGCCAAGCCCTGCCGGACACGGCACTGCTCTGCGACAGAGTGAAACCTGCGTCAGAAGCAGCCCGGCCTGGGGACGCCGACAGCAGCGTGGGAAGACGCAACAAGACGACGAGCCACTTTCCGATCGTTCTTTATCTCAAATTCACTCATAAAACAGATAGTACTAGGTCATTAAACATGAACTGTCCGATTTCGGACCAAAAATTCATTATTTTTCAAACGAGCAGCAGTACAATGAATCAGAGTTGTGCCTAAACCGTCAACACAGTTTTGCCATCCTGACGGCAGCCTGGTTACTCCGGCAGCAAAGACGCCTGGAGAGCGAGTGGCCTTGAAACCGTGAAAGGCGTTTTCCGTTTCTTGTCGAGAACCGAACATCTTTCCTCGCAAGCAGCGGTGCGAAGCCGGGAAGAAGGGCAGCCAGTTGGTGCGAGGTCTGGTGGATGGGGTGGGGCACAGAGAGTTTCCAAGTCCAGCTTCCGCAGTTGGAGCAGCGTTGCTTTTTGAGACATGTGGTCTTGCAAGAGGACTGGCCTGTCTCTACTGACCAATCTCAGCTGCGTAATCACAAGCATCCTCATCGTTTCCTCCCACTGGGTGCAGCAGACGTCGGCTGTGACCCACTGACCGGGTTTCGTGAAGCTGTCATGCGTGGGTAACACCAGCGCTGGGCCACCAAACAGAGACCATTAGCTTCTTTTCACAAACACTTGGTTTTGGACTGTGTTTCAGCATTTCATCTTTTTTTTTAACATTTATATGTATATATTGATTGATTGATTGATTGATTGATTGACAGAGTCTCACTCTGTCGCCTGGGCTAGAGTGGCGTGGTGTCAGCCTTGCTCACTGCAACCTCTGACTCCTGGGCTCGAGCGATCCTCCTGCCTCAGCCTCACAAGTAGCCGAGAATACAAGTGTGGGCCCCACCACGCCCAACTAATTTTTTCTGTTAGTAGAGACGGGGTCTCGCTCTTGCTCAGGCTGGTCTCGAACTCATGAGCTCAAGCAGTCCTCCCACCTCGGCCTCCCAGAGTGCTAGGATTACAGGCGTGCGCCACTGCGCCTGGCCTCAGCACTTCATCTTTATCCAACCATTGTGCCAAACACTTGCGATTGTCAAAAGGATCCATTTCTCATCACACATAACGATACAGTGTAGAAACGGCTCACCTTTATGCCGTCACAGCAATGAAAGACAAGCTTCGAGATCATTTCTATTCTGATGCTCGTTTAATTTAAGTGGAACCATCTTTCCAGGTTCTTTACCTTGCCCATTGGTTTCGGATGGCCCAATACTGTTGGAATAGCAACGTCAAACCTTGTCGCTAATTCACGCGTAGGTGGAGATGGATTTGCTCCCACTACAGCTCTCAGCTCATCATGATCCACCTTGGTCTCAGATCGCCCACGTGGCTCATTTTCAAGATTAAAATCACCAGAATGGAACTTCTCAAACCATCGATGTGCTGTGTGTTCACCAGCCGCATCCTTCCCAAACGCTCTGTTGATATTCCGGGCTGTCAGCACTGCATTGTCCCACGACTGGACTCATATTGAAAAACAACACAAATTTTTTTACTTATCCGTGGTTCTGCAAAAATTGCTCTAAGAAAAAAATCTGAAAGATAATCACAAGTCAAAACGTGTGTTTGAAAGAGTGAGATGCATCTTCACAATTTAAAAAAGAAAAAAACACACGGGAAGTGTCAAAGTGAAACGTCAGAGATATCAACTGTTAACACTTAAGGAAATCAGACATTCCATACTTAACAACCTAGTATTTTAGCACCTACAAGGTACCAGACACTATTCTATGCTATCTTTTACTGTCCCCCAATCACCATGTTTCGAGTTCTCTCCAGGTTAGAACACGCACAGCCTTTGCACCGTATGCTTTAAAATGTCTTGAAGTCCCAATGGTTAAGTGTTGTGTAAAGCAGTGATCAATAGTACCACTTCGTAAGAGTGAAACTCAAATAACCATTCACCGCTAGGCACTGAACAGACTGGGTCAGATTTCCAGCTGTGTCCAAAGAGAATTTGCTAACCTTTGTGTCCAATTTCCTAAGTCCCAACACACACACACACACACACACACACACACACTGCTCCTCCACATACAACGTATGAAAAAAAGAATGGGTAGTTATGTCATACGCAGGTGCTGCCTGTACCATTTCGATGTATGATGCTTAAATGATCAGAAGACAGGCCAGGCGCAGTGGCTCAGGTCTGTAATCCCAGCACTCCAGGAGGCCAAGGCAGGAGGATCACTTGAGGTCAGGAGCTCGAGACCAGCCTGAGCAAGAGCGAGACCCTGTCTCTACTAAAAATACAAAGAAATTAGCAGGACAACTAAAAATAGAAAAAATTAGTCGGGCGTGGTGGCGCATGCCTGTAGTCCCAGCTACTCAGGAGGCTGAGGCAGGAGGATCGCTTGAGCCCAGGAGTTAGAGGCTGCAGTGAGCTAG